CTGAATCCTTATATGTAAGATAGTATAACGAACCTGGCGTATTTAAATACAAAATCATAATTCTAAAGGCGCCATGGGGTCTACTCATCTCATTGTGGAAAAACGTAGCAATCAGTCCTAAATGATGTTGGTTTGACTTCATTTTCGTAACTTGGTCGCAGCGACAGGGAGATCTTGTGGAACGTACCCAGTCATGCATCCTCTGCCATATTATTCATGATTTCAGAATCGGACCATTGACTTGGTACATTCCCAAACGTTTCGCCGGCATCGTTAGTTAGAAGTACCATTGTCAGTAGAGTTGCAGCGTATCAAGGTGACAAGTGAAGGCAATCACCTTTATCAATTTTCTGTCTAACCGTTGTGGCATCATTCTCGGCGCCTATCTTTGTCCTAGGCTCTAATGCTAAATGTCTTTCTTTCAACTGCTTTTCATATCACTCATTTACTTATTCACACCCCTATTGTATCTCATTCTTTAGAGCCATGTGTCCGACTTAATTCACAGCATCTAGTGTGAAATTGCACCGTCTGCCTTTCACACAGTAAAAGTGTCTAAGTTGGCACAAGAATTGAAATTTTAAATATTTCTTCAAATGTGTCGTAATCAGGAACAATGCTCGTAAAAATAATGAAAAAAAAAAAATATATATGTCTCCTCATCTTTGATCCAAAAATGAAAATAATTTGTCATAACAAGTGTACGAGGATATATTTAAAAGATGAGAAAGTTTGATGTTATATATTGTCGGAATATTTAAAGCAACCTCAAGGCTTTCGGCCTAAATCCGTCCACCAAAGTTAACGGCTTCAAAAAGGTCAGAGAAAAAAGATAAATTTCATTCACTTATTAGATGACATATCTTATCAATGAATGTAAAAACATTGTTCCTGGACTAATTAATGTGTATAGGGAAATAACTTAGATAAGTATAAATAATTTCAAGCAAATTATGAAACTTATAATTTTAAAAATACCAGTTGTCGTTAAAATAGGTGCATAATCATAAAGAAGGGTCTTGGAAATATGATATAAAATAAAAGGTATACGAAAAGAGTAAGTGATCAATAGAAAGCTAAATAAGAGAAAGAAGGATGATGTTGGCCTACTTCGTTGTAGAAGATCGAGACATTGGGAGGATGGGGAAGAATCCTGACTCGTGGTATCAGGCTTGACAGAAGTGGCAGGAGTAGCAGGAGAAATACCAAGAGCAGAGGACATCAGGTATGGAGTGAGGAGACGAGAGATGTGATCAGGCATTTCATTGAAGATGCGGGAGAAGAATTTGCACAGTTCTGCAGACATATTGCTTTAATTATAGGAAATAAATCAAAGGATAATAAAGATCAGATTTATATTCTAAATACCAGATATCATTAATACATTGCAATCGAGAGGTAAAGTTAACAGTCAGAAGAGCATCATTTTTATGTTGAAATCACTTTATAGTGAGCCTCAGAACAATAATAAGAATTCTAGTAGATAACCTTCATGATAAAGCATGATATGAAGCTAGTAGCTGGATTTAAAATCTAATAAAGCAAACAGGTGAATCGAAGGGTAAGGGTGTTGAATCAAAATACGTCGAGACATATATGTGGAGTTGTGAACAAGTCTTAAAACATAGTGCAAACAAGGCCTTATGTGAATTGGAGGCTAAGTGCTTTTCATTGGAAAGTGAGATTTAAGGCTCATTTGTGAAATGAGAATTTGCTTCATAATACAAGAGACGCAACTTTGAAATGATTAACACAATAGGAGACAGGTAAACCTTAGGTATTGGTGCTAATATTATTTAGCTAAACAGGACTGTAACTGTGAGCCCGGTCCACCAAGAAAAAGTGATATCACCACCAAGTATATATGAATAATTTAAGTTGG